GGAGTGAGATGGAATCTCAATGTAGTTCTGATTTGCATTTCTCTAATGACTAAAGATGTTGAATACTTTTTATATATTTATTGGCCATTCATAAGTATTCTTTTGAGAAGTGTCTCTCCAATTCATTTGCCCATTTATTGATTAGGTTGTTTGTTTCTTCAGTGTGAAGGGTTTTTTTAGTTCTTTATGTATTCTGGATGTTAATCCTCTCCCAAAGAGTAGCTGGAAAAGATTTTCTCCCATCCTATACGCTGTCTCTTCACACTGTTGTTTCCTTTGGTATGCAGAAACTTTTTAATTTGATGCCTTCCCACTTGCCGAATCTCACTATTATTCCCTGAGCTATTGGAGTCTTATTCAGGAAGTTGTTGTTGACTGTGCCTGTGTCTTGAAGTGGTTCCCCCATGTTTTGTCCTAGCAATTTCAAAGTTTCAGGTCTTACATTTACATCTTTGACCCATTTTGAGTTGATTTTTTGTACAGGGTGAGCTTCAATTCTTTACATATGAATATCTAGCTTTCCTAGCACCATTTTCTTCTCTCCAATGCATGTTTTTTGGCACCTTTTTGGCAAGAATCAAATGGCTATAGCTTTGTAGGTTTGTCTCTATCCTCTTTTCTATTCCACTTGTCTATGTGTATATTACAACAGATACCACTGAAATCCAAAGGATCATTAAAGACTATTTTGAAAACTTATACATACAATCTGCCAAAATTGAGTCAAAAGGATATAAAACCTAAACAGATCAATAACAAGCAATGAAACTGAAGCAGTAATAAAAAGTTTCCCAGCACAGAAAAGCTCAGGAGCAAATATATCCACTGCTGAATTTTACCAGATCTTTAAAGAAGAACCAATATAAATGTTCCTCAAATTAGTCCATGAAATGGAAAGTGAAGTAATGCTTCCAAACTCATTCTACAAAGCAAGTATCACTCTCATACCCAAATCAGATAAGAACACACACACACACACACACAAACACACACACAAAAAACAAAACTGCAGACTAATATCCTTGATGAACCTAGATGCAAAAATCCTCAATAAAATACTTTTCAACCAAATTCAACATTAAAAAGATTATGCAGCATGATTAGTTTTTAGTTACTAAATATGATATTAGCTGAAAGTTTTATAGCAGTTGGGGATATTCCTCTTTATCCTCAGTTTTCTGAGAGGTGTTGTCAAAGTTTTATTAGGGTCTTGGAGGGATTTAATTTTGTCAGATGCTTTTTGATTTCTTTGGATATGATTATGAGATTTTTTCTCTAGTGAATTAATATGATATATTACATTGATTTTCAATTATTAAGCTAGTCCTGCATCCACTGAATAAACTCTATTTTGTGAAGCTATATAATTATTTTTATATGTTGTTGAAATCTGTTTGACGATGCCTTGCTAAGGATTCTTATGTCTATATTCATGAGGGATATTGGTCTGTAGTTTTATTCTTATGTATTGTTACTATTTGTTATGGTGTCAGGAAAAACTGGCTTCATAAAATAAGTTGGTAAATGCTCTTTCCTCATCTTTATTTTCTGGAAGAGGTCATGAAAGTTTTACTGCCATCCACAATATTTTACAGTTTAAAGATAATCTAAATCAAGGGTAGGTAGTTTTGTCTTGTTGGAGGTTTGCTAAATCATTTTTTTTTTTTGCTTTTTAAATATGCTTAAAATATTTCATTACTTAAAAATAAAAATGTTTTCAATGCTAGAATGAATAAGTGAAATAAATTTTTAAGTTTATTGCTGAGTGTGAAAAGTCTTAATACAGTTCTTTGAGAAAAATATCCATCAACTTAAAGAATAAAAAGTTCTGAATTGCTTTCCCAACATTTACAGAACTTTTTTCAATATTTCAAACTCTAAAAACCATAAAATTAATATTTTAATTTTACAAAAGTTAAAATGTGAGACTATGGTGTATTAAAATATCCATGAGTTTTCTATCTTCGTAGGGAGGAGGAATCTCTATTCCACTCACATCTGAGCTGATTCTATGCTTATTTTAGCCAACTGCATCACAGAAATGGTACCAGGTGATTTCTGATACTGAGTTTTACATGACAAGTAGTTTCTGCCTGCTGGAACATTCCTGCTTTTATCTAAGCTACCATGTTGTGAGGAAGCCCAGAGACCACATGTAGAGGCAAACTGAGGAGAACTGAGGTTTCTGGGCAAACCCAGCTTCACCCATTCCAACTGACTTCCCACTATATGAAACTCCCAAATCCACCCACATTATCATGAGAAATAACTATTTATTGTTCTAAAGCATTAAATCTTAAGATGATTTGTTAAACAGTAATGCATTACTAAATTGGATACTCAAAGAAGTTAGTGATTCACTTTTAAGAGCAATATTTAATGGAAATTGAGACTACATCACTTATTTTCAAAACCTTCATCCTGTGTATTTTTCCTCCACATTAAGTTTTTCTTAAATTAGCATATCCAGGCATTGGTGAAAACTCTGGCGCACAAATAACATGCAGCCATTTCACTCAGAGTAAAGCAAGGAAGAAGCGTATGAACCTGATACTATTTACATGTGAGTAACTATGCCATGCAAAACGAAGTTGGGACAACAACTATGCACAATTGGTTGTTTTTACCACTCCTCAGTAAGTCAGCTACAGTTATTTTCTAGGAAAATAATGGTTACCTGAGAAGTTAAGAAGCTTCTTATACCAGAATAGTTGGGTTTCATTCACTTTATCTTCAGATCTGTTTTGATAACCTGTGTTCTTTTATCCAACAGTAACAAACTTCAAAGCTACACAGGCAGAAGTGAATAAAACAGGTTTTATCTTTTTACAATCATCCATCCTAGCTTTAAATCACACACATGTATTTGATAATAATATCCTTAGTCTCAGGAATTTTTCTCATGATTATAGGAAAGTCCATTACAAATGTATGGATATTAAGCTTTAATCCACATCTATCAACTCCTAGGAAATGTTGACATATAAGATCTCTTCTTCTTAAACAAGCTGATTTATTTTTAAGAGATTATAGTAAGAGACAGATGTAAGTATCATATACACATATATATGGGTGTGCTCACATGTATATAAGTGTATATGTTATACATATATAGATAGATAATATATATAACCCCACTTCAAGTATATGAAAAATAATGCTTGGATCTGGTCCTTGCATACATATTTTCTTTTTATCCAAAAAGATACAAGGTGGATTCATTTAACTATTCATTCTTTTTAAAAAATTTTTTGTTGGTTCTTCTTAGTTATGGATGGCAGGAGAAACCATTTTGATAATATTATACAAGTATGGAATATATCTTATTCTAATTAGAACCACATTTTTTTTTTTTTTTGGTACTGGGGATTGAACTCAGGGGCACTTGACCACTGCACCATATCCACAGCCCTATTTTTTCGTATTTTATTTAGAGACAGGGTCCCACTGAGTTGTCTCACTTTTGCTGAGATTGGCTTTGAACTCGTGATCCTCCTACCTCAGTCTCCCAAGCTGCTGGGATTACAGGTGTGAGCCACCATACCCTGCCTAGGACCCCATTCTTGTGAGTGGACAGGCTGGTGGGATTCACTTAAAGTTAGACTCACTCTACATTCTTTCCTAATTCTTTCCCCCCCTCCCTTCCTTTCATTCCTCTTTGTTTAATATACTGAACTTCTCTTCTTCCCCTCCCCAGCCCCTTTATTGTGGTTTAGCTTCCATATATCAGCAAACACATTAAAACTTTGGGTTTTGGGGATTGGCTTATTTCACATAGCATGATAGTCTCCAGGTCCATCCATTTGCTGGAAAATGTCATTGTCATTCTTCTTTATGGCTAAGTAATGCTCCATTGTGTATATTTACCATATTTTCTTTATTCATCAGTTGAATGGCAGCTAGATTATTCCATAGCTTAGTTATTGTGAACTGAACTGCTATAAACATGGATGTGGCTGCATCACTGTGGTATGCTGATTTTAAATCCTTTGGATGTATATGCTGAGCAGTGGGATAATGGATCAAATGATGGTTCCATTCTTAGTTTTCTGAGGAATCTCCATACTGCTTTCCAGAGTGATTGCACCAATTTGCAGTCCCTCCAGCAATGTAGGAGTGTTCCCTTTTCCCCACATCCTCACCAACATTTATTGTTATTTGTATTCTTGATAGTTGCCATTCTGACTAGAGTAAGATGAAAACTCAGTATAGTTTTAATTTGCATTTCTCTAATTGCTGGAAATATTGAATATTTTTCATATATTCATTGACCAGTTGTAGTTCTACTTTTGAAAAGGGTCTGTTCAGTTCCTTTGTCCATTTATTGATTTGGTTATTTTGTTTTTGTTTGTTTGTTTGTTTTTTGTTGGTGTTAAGCTTTTTGATCTTTGTATATCCTGGAAAGTAACACCCTATCTGAGGTGCAGGTAGCAAATATTTTCTCCCATTCTGAAGGCTGTCTCATCATGTTCTTGATTATTTCCTTTGCTGTGAAGAAGCTTTTTAGTTTGATGCCATCCCATTAATTGATTTTTTAATTTTATTTCTTGTGCTTTAGGAGTCTTTTTATGAAAGTTCGTAACTAAGCCAATATGTTGAAGTTCTGGGCCTACATTTTCTTCTAGCAAGTGCATGATTTCTGGTCTAATTCCTAGGTCTTTGATCCACTTAGAGTTGATTCTTGTGCAGGGTGAGAGATAGGAGTGAATTTTGACTCTATTACATATGGATTTCCAATTTCCCCAACACCATTTGCTGAAGAGACTATCTTTTCTCTAATACATGTTTATGGGGTCTTTGTCTAGTATGAAGTAACTGTACTTATGTGGGTTTGTCTCTGTGTCTTCTATTCTGTTCCATTGGTCTTCTTGCCTGTTTTGGTCAATGCCATGCTATTTTTGTTATTATAGCTTAAAGCATTTTTTCTGACCCAAAAGAACACATGAAAATAGTGTGGCTCTTTTTTTGTTGTTGTTCCATCTTGTATGTTTGCTACTTACCGGCTGTCCTGGCTGACCAACTCCAATGGGTCCCGGAGCTCCTGTTCTTCCTTCTTGACCTCTTTCTCCCTGAAAAAGTACAGTGGGCACTTTAAAATAAAACATAGCATAAAATAATCTGGAGATTTCAACAAGGATAAATACAAAATAGCCAAACTTTTAATATCCATAAACATGTTTAAAATCTAGAGACAGAAAATGAATTTAATTTGAATTTAAGTAAATTTAAGTAAACAAATTACCCTCAGATGTTTATCATCTCTTCTTTAAATGCAGTACAGCACTTTTCTCTTTCACAATCTATCCCATAGTAATGGTAAGATGAATGGCATGGCAATTCATTTTGGACACCAATGGGACAAACTAATGATATCTATGCTATTCCTAGCCATGATCCTGGAATGTATTTGTCCCTTGTCCCTACTCTGTCCCTTTCCCTCTGCCTAAACTCTGTTTCATACTTGATCTCCTTTAGAATGCTTCTCCAATAACTCTGCCCATAGAAACCCTGCTTTCCCTGGAGTCTCAATGTACTTATTGTTGAAATGTTACCTATGCTGACACTGGATTACATTCAGAGTACAGTTTTAGTGCTGCATCAAAGTCTTATTTTACTACTGCATCAAGGTGTTATTGTCCCAAACACATAGAAGAGTCATTTAAAATAAGCACTTCCACTCCATTCTATCCAGTATGGTACAGAGCATCCCAAGAGGGATGTTTCTTACTTTCTATTTCCCTGCAAACCTTTCTGTCAACAATTATTTATTCAGTGTCCTAGTTTCTCTAGTTCCTGCCCATCTATGCTTTTTTAATTAGAGCAAGTGGTAGTTGATGTGTTAAGATATTTCACTTCACAATAACATATTTGTATGTTAATGTTTAAAGTGTGGAAACTCAAAAAGAGCTACACATATTTTATGAGTGAGTGGATATTTAGAGATAAGCAAATTTTTCATTTCAATCAAAATATGATTAATTGATTATTCTTGTGACAACTGCCCCTGGTCAGAGCATTGCTGTGTCTAAAGATGCAAATGTCAGTAACTTCTGCAGGGAATCTCCTCATGTTTACTACAATTAGGCTGAATTGGGTTCAAATCACACTTCCCCAGGTTTTACAATAAATTCAATAGTCATCAATAGACAAAGAAACAATCATCTTTACCTTAATCCCCTGTTGTCCAATACCAGGGGCTCCTGGAGGACCATACGGGCCAGGAGGACCTGGCTCACCCTGCAGGGAGAAAGAGTGCTATGTTAGGTCAACTCAGTAGTAGTCATTGAGCAACTCTGAGATGTATAGTGTTGAGATAGGGGCTTTGGGATAACAGAGGAACCTAGAAAACAGCCTCTACCCTCAATCATCTAAAATCCATTTGGAAAGACAACAGAGTCCCAGAGTTGAATTACCTCCTAGGCTCAGTGGGCACAGTCTCTAGGGCCCACAATACTTGTAGGAACCTGTGAACATGTTTCCATTTTAAATTTTTAAATTATTACAAAAATAAATATCATAAATAATGAATATGTAATAATGAATTGAGCCTGGCTTATATTTATCTTTATATCAACTCAGTCATACATTTTTAAATATTTTTTCCTGGATGAAGTGATTCTCTAAGGCAAACGTTTCTAGGACCTATGAAAGTCGCAGTGTAGCCCTCACTCATTCATCAATATTTTTTTCCCGTGCTTTGGCAGACTCCAATGGCTACCCTCTCTCCCTGTCTCCTGCCTGCTGGTAGAAGAACTCTGATCTGCTCATGACAAGGGCAGCTGCTCTTTGCTCTCACAGGTATGGGATGAATGATAAGTAATCTAACTCAAGCCTGGGATCCCCTTTCACATTGCTACCTATTAGTCTAGGTTGATCACGTGACTCAGTTCTGACAAATGAGATGGGAGGGACCTTGATGGATGTAAAGGAAAAAACTTTTGCCTCTGTCTTTTCTTTCCTACATGGAGATGTGGCAACTGTCTTGTATCCATGATAAAACAATCTCTACTATAGAAGCCAAGAGCAGAAGAGGACCACACAGAGCACTTGGAGAAGAGCCTGACTGCTGGATAATCTTGCTGAGCAGCCAGTCCCGTCCCTGACTACCTACTGCGAACATTCTCTTCACTCAACAGTGAGAGTTTTTTTGTGATTTAAGCCACTCTTAGTCAAGATGTTGTAACTCAAAGCCAAAACATTTTTTATTAATTCAGACTACCATGGGGCATGCCCATAATAGAACTCAGGCATCTCAGAACTAGATGGGACCATGACACTCAACCCTGTCCATTTCCCAAATGGTAAACCTGAGTCCAGACAGTTACCTGGTCTGTCCCAATTCACACCTCAACATCACTTACAGATAGGACTTTTCCAGTCTTTCAGGCATCTGGCCCTATAACATGATGATAGGAAAAAGGATTCCAATTGCCTTTTTTAATACTGCTAAGTTTTTTTCATTTATTAAAATAATATATTGTCATTGTAGAAGACCTGTCATGTATTAAAAAGCATACACTTAAAGAAATGTTTAAATCACTTAACTATAATTCCTATTAATTTTTGGTGTGTTTCTTTCCAATTTTTGTAAATACACGTGAATCTTTATGCTAAGGAAGAGTTCTGAATACTCTTGTGTTTGAGTTAATGAATACTTGCTATTGAAAATTTCATTCAACTTACAAATTTATCTCTTTGTGCATGAAAACAGAAAAGTGGAACATAAATTGAGACTAGCCTTCTCTCAGATTAAGGGAAATAAAATACTTTTCATTAATTTTAAAATCTCCCTTTCCCCTGGAGACTTGTGATTTTGCAGGGAACACTTAACAATCAGAGCAATGTGCTGTTAGTAAGGGAATTATTTTAGAGCAGTTGTTAACTTTGAGCATTGCAAAGGAGAACAAGAAGGGACAGAAGAAATCAGCTCCCCAAAATATTTACCCAAACTCAAGATAAATTAAAACAAAAGAAACCTGTCCTAAAATCAGTTGCCTGAGATGGGCACAGTGGTGCACAACCATAATCCCAGTGGCTCAGGAGGCTGAAGCAGGAGAAGGATTGCAAATTAAAGCCGGCCTCAACAAAAGCAAGGTGCTAAGCAACTCAGTGAGACTCTGTCTCTAAATAAATTGTTTTAAAAGGGCCGGGGCTGTGGCTCAGCAGTTAAACGTCCCTGGGTTCATTCCCTGTTACCGAAAAAAAAAAAAATCAGTTGCCAGAATTTTTGATGTTTTGGCAAATAAGTGGTTTGATATAAATGTATTTACTGTTCATGCTATTGAGGACAAGTCAATCTGGCAGATAAATCAACTAGAATTTACTTTTTAAAATCTTTGGGTTGTACTTGTTTTTCTGTGTAGTTTAAATCTAGAGTAGACAGATGACAGCCATTCTTATTTTACATGTTCTTTGTCAAGGAACTTCTCTCTTTTTATAATATCAGACATAAAAATTTGCACTAAATTTGAAGCTGGTTTCTTAACATCAAAGTAAAAGTAAACGCTAGAAATTATTCAACTTTCTAGAGCAAATTTTTTGCTTCAAGGAACCTTTATTTCTTCTTTCTTTGTTTAACAACTTCTGTGCTCTCTACTCAAGTTGAAATCTCCTTGTAAATTGTAGAAGTCCCACATGGGGGACTGTTGCCATCACTCCACAAATGAACACCAACTACTTATTCTGTGGAAGGTTAGGAAGTAAATACTGAGAAGTCTAGGACACGGTTACTAAATTTAGAGAACTGGCTCAAGAGATGCACCATCAAAAAACTGCAATAATAATTTTAAACCCTAAGTTCATTTATTTTCTTTTCTATACTTCCTATATGTACCTTTGGTTTTGTAAGAGGTGATAAGGCATTTAAACTATGCATCTGGTAGTGAACTTAAGGATTTTTGATTAGTGGGAGCTCTGCCCTACTCAGTACTTAACTACAGGTTTGATCAGAAACAAACCAACAGCACAGGTCTGTGACAGAGTATCTTCTGACTACTTTCAAGGCATGGTTTGGTTGTTATATTAAACGTGTGAACCAGGAAACCAAGAGAAGCAACTCTGTTACTCTTGAGTCTATGGGTTCCCCTTAGGATTGGCCAAGTACCAAAAACAACTGAGAAATTTTTTATTATTACTTTTTTCAAGGGAATTACAGGAATCCAAAGATTTCAGAGTGATTGCTTTCCCTTACCTTAACACAGTCCCTCAGAAACATAACTTCACATTTCCCTTGCTTATATTGATTTCTCAGGAGCCTAACATCTCAATGTAGGACCCACTGACCAATATCGGTACATAATTATTATTTTCCCTTGACCTTTCCTACAAAAACTCTTATAGTAGTAATGGAGGTGGTCCTCATTGTAAAAGATGATGTTGAGACAAGACCAAGCATGGGAGGAGAGGCAGCACTCTACTTGGAATAGTTTTCTGGAAATTTACTGAGACAACACACCGTGGGTGATACTATAGGCTTGATTCCTTTCCTCCTATTATTCCTGCCCCCAACCCTCACCAACACACACACACACACACACACACACACAGAGAGAGAGAGAGAGAGAGAGAGAGAGAGAGAGAGAGATTGCATGCCCACAATGCCTATAGTACCAACTGTACTTATTTCTCGACTTCACTTTCTTTGATGACCTGGGTCAACAGGTGAGGATAACAAAGAGGAGTAGCCCCAAAGAAAGTCTTGTTTCATAATCTCTGTGATTGTGAATATACATGAATGTGACTGTGAACATGTGTGGGAGCAATGAGACCACCTTGATCCTCCTCGGAAACTAAGAACACCCCTACTTCTGTGGACCTCAAGAACAGAGGAAGCCCATGTTTAATGAGACCGACTATTTCATTATCTCTTTTAATCTTATGATAATCCTAGAAAATAGGGGTTTGATTCCATTTATACTGTAGGAATATAATCTTTATTTTTTAATTGACTTTTCAGCATGCAGGGAATCTATGGGGTGTGGGAGGTATGGCTTTGGAATTATCCCTGGTTCTATCACTTACTAATAATTTGAACTTTTGCAAGATCCCAAAATGAAAAATGATGATGATTATATCTACCTTGCAGGGTGGTTGAGAAGATTCAAGATATTGTGTGTAAAATAGCTGTTTAATATATGTAGATTCAATTGTTATTCACCAGGTCTTTGTTGACCAAGCTGACACCAGGTTTTGTGCTCAATAAAAGGTCTGGTGAATAAAAATCTATGCCTATAATTGAGTACCAGTTTACATAATTAGAGACATAAATCAGATTGCGCCTGCACTTTGCAGAAGTTTACAATCTGGCTGGAGACACAAATGAATATGAAACAAAATACAAGCATGTAAATTATGTATAATAAAGATATTAACAGAGCATACAAGTCTCTGAGGCAGAAATATTTAATTCTGCCTCAAGGAACTGGGAAAGTTTCATGATAATAGAGGGAATACTTGAGCTGAATGAAGAGGTAGCAATCATAGTGAACCTGGTGGGAAAGAAAAGGAGCAAACGTTCAAAGAGAGGAAAATGTGAGGCATAAAATGACATGAAATGTTCTGCAGAAAGTAAGTACAAAGAGCCAGAAACAGAGTGACAATTGGGTCACTGTCTGGAGCTGCAATGTCCAGTGGAAATACACAGTGACTATGTATGTAGTTTAAATTTTTCAATAGTCTTATTAAGAAGATAAAAAGAAACAGGTGGACTATAATTAATAAATATATTTCACTTAAAATATCTAAAATGTTATTATTTCAACATGGAATCAATAATTTAAAAGCATTGATGTTTATATTTTTCACTTGTCTTAATATTAAGTCCTTGGAAACCCAGTCTTATTCTGACAGCAATCTCAATTTGGATGAGCCACATTTCAAATGCTCAGTAGCTACATGTGGCTACTTTGTTAGACAGTTTCATAGAAATTAAAAAGCCTGGAGCTTCAGGTCAGAACCATGGACAGTAACAACATTTAGGTGGAGGAAACATGGAAGTCTAGCAAGATATCTTGCAGGAGGCTGGAGGAAAGGAGCATTTCAAAAGTCATTTCTGAAGACAGACGTAGTACCTTTCACTCACAGACTTGGTCATCCTCCAGTCTCTTCTACCTAAGGAAGGGGTTTACAATCTCTCCTGTGTCAAACCAGAATTGAGGGGACTATTCTTCCTCTCCTCCTCCCACCATGTGTAATGATTATATCCCAAGTACATGTCAGTATGCTTCCTAAATGTGTCT